GGAAACATTATGTTTTAAAAGTTAAGTATGATTTTGTAATTCTTTTTTTTAAACCCCACAGTTGCATGGAACAAAAAAAATCACTTCCTTATATTTCTAGCCTGTAAGGAATAAGCTTATAGGACCATCTGATCAGTTTTGCATAAAATAGGCAAGTAAAAAACCCAAGTAAAGAAGAAAGTGTGCAGAACTTCTCAACTAGGCTAATATTTTTTCTGTTGGGGCTTTAATTTCTATCTGATACCTCATCACCACATATGGATATCTGAAGATATTTAGGAAGAAATAATCACAATTACTGGAAACTAATTTAAAAAATTGCATAGCTCCTGTAAGTTTTTCTCCTTTTGGGGGAAGGATAGCACTTACGTATTTACATTATTTGCACTAATTAGTGTAAAAAGTATAGCCTATAACATTATCAATGTTATCAACATTGTTTGTAATAAACCAGAAAGTCAGTTTAGGATTTGATCTAGAACATGATAATATCAAATGCAAAACTCCCCACCGACTAGAGCAATGTTAGGTAAAGTTTTAACCACCACATTCACATGTACTTACATCCAGGAACATCGCTGAGAGTCACTCAACGGTTTCAGGAATTGCTTGACTCTCTATAACATTGTGGCTTTCTGTAAATAGCAAGATAAAGGACCTGGCTAGGGAAGTAATCTCTCTCTCTGCAGATCTATACAGCACTATGTTTTAAAAGTTGCAAATAGCTCCGTACCCTTTGGCATACACAGTACAAGACTTCCATGACAGGTACTCTGCATTGTAAAGCACCTTTTTACTGAGCTGTGAAATAACTTTACGCTTCTGTAAAAACTTTAAATATACTCCAAACTAGGCATTATTACTGGATTAAAAGAGATAATACAGTACAGTAGTTCTTTATATTCACTTCCATAATGCTCAACATTAATTTCAGTTTTGGAAATGTTTTGATTTTATTTTACTTTTATGCAATGGTAGGTACACGCACAGTGTTTTTCGTAAAGTCATCAGTGAAGTAATCAAGGAAGCTGATATTTGTATTTGCATAATTAAAGAGAATTGTCAATTGAGAAAGTTTAAAACATGTTTTTTCAGTTCCTTGTAATTGATTATCCTGACATTTCTCTTTAAAGGTTTTCTTTCAAGTTATGAATATAAACATAGGTGATACTTATTTTTATTTTAAAAAAAAAAGGTTTAGCAGTTGATTTGGTATTGGAAGAGATGACTACAGAATTCACAGCTTTGCTTATTATTTTTCATTTTTAGTTTCAAATGAGATCATAGAAACGTTTCTCCTTCAGAAGCAGGGCTTCCATTTATACAATATTGACTGTATTCTTAGTCCCTTAACATGGCCATAAATTGTATATAAACCAAAACAAACTCTGACAATGTATGTTGAAAGCCACCAACATTTTAAAATTCCAGTTGAATCTGTGTCCCTTGATTCTGTGGGCTATTACTGTGTGCAGACTTGTATAAAGAAGTGGTATTAGCCATTAAAAATATTAGCAAAGCTGTTAACTTTATAGATTAGAAAGCATATTAAACTTTGTTGTGCAATTATTGCTTTTATATTTTGTTCTTCTAAAAACTTATTTTTAATTTTTACAGAACTCTGTGTGACTCCAATTTCAAAAGGAGGATTTGAAAAAGAGAAATCTGGATCATCTTCACTGACCACATTAAGGAGGTTAAAGAGTAATCTGTTTCATCGAAGTATGACTTTTGATATTTATATCCAAATGTCATCCTAGTTAATGCATGAAGAGTGTATTTTTTGTTTCTTTAATTTGTGTGCAAGACGAATGCTTAAAGAAGAAAATTTTGATGGAAAATGTACCTCTTCATTTCTTGTGTATTGAAATGATTGTAAAGTTGTTAAAATTTGTATTTGAGAATCTGACTCTTGCACAAATAAATTCATGGTCTTGCTGTTCATTAAAACTCTAAAGATCTTAAAATAAAAATTTATGGCTGATGATAAACTGGTATGGCGTAATTATACAACTAACTTCAGTTAACACTAAGCCTCTTTGATATGCTTGCCATTTACAGCTAGTGTTACACAATAGAAGTTATAATCTATAAATAACATTTCAGGGCAAACTCTTTAAGTTTAAATATCAAACAATATTAATTTAAATTAACTACTTTTTATTAATTAATTTAAATTAATACTTTTAACATGCCTTGGTCTAAGTATTTTGGAAATCTGCAAATCTTGTAAGATAAATGTTGAGCAGTAAGCACATCCTTCTAAAGGCTGCTCTGTATAGGTGTCCTTGCTCTACTGGATCCTGTTCTTGATCAAGGGGCTTTTATGGACCAAGCCTTCAGTGCTGCTTCAGTCCACAGTAAGGAATAAATCTTCAGTGGGTAGGATACATCTCAGTAGCTGTAAGTGCCTAAAAGTTTGTCATCCAATCTAAACTAATCAGTCCCTGAAGGGAGAGGAAAAAGGTAGGTAGTTCCAAAAGTGATTTCTTCCTGGGATATTTTGATGCTTAGAAATCTGCAAGGAGGTCAACATGGAGTCCTCCAAATTTTCTAAACCTGTCAAGTATTGGTGGATTTTTTTGTAAATACTAGGAAAGAAAAGTGAATTTACAATTTTTAGAAAACAAAGCTAGAAATGCAAAAATAAAAGTGGTTAAACAAGAAAGTATGCAGCTGTGATTTGAATTGGCACCAATTTTTCAAAAGCTTGCCTCATGCCTATCTTTTAGGAGTATTTCTAAAAATATTATAATTATATAGGTCATATACAAAAAAATCCTGGCTTTTGCAAGTGTCTTGTGAAATTAAAGAAATATTTTCATCACACAGGGCTTTTGACAGGAAGTAATCTACAACATGACATGTTTAGAATAGCTTCATGAATCAGTTGTTATCTCCATAATTAGATTGACAGGTTGCTTTTTAAACAGTTCATAATGTAATGACAAATCATGGCTTCTTTTTTTTGTGCATTCTTTTTCAGATAAAAGAGTAGTGGATACCATTGCTAACTCTGATGTTTACTTGGAGGACCTTTTTACAGATTATTATGAAAAAGCTGCAAGCATGACTGATCTTTCTACAAGCTATCTCAGAGAAGGGTCTCATATCCGAATTAATTTACTTAATAACAACATCCCCAAAGGTCCCTGTGTCCTTTGTGGAATGGGAAGTTCTAAAAGGGAGACAGTCTACGGATGCCTGGAGTGTTCTTTTAATGGACAAAAGTACGTACGACTTCATGCTGTGCCCTGTTTTGATCTCTGGCACAAGAGAGCAAAGTAACTGAGCTAGGTAAGTGCCTGTTGTCGCAGACATGGGCATAACTGTGCCACAAACTTTTCAGAATAAGTAAATACGACTCAAATTGTTGAAATGCAACATAGTGAAAGTGCAAAACATTTTATTACACTATTATCTTCAAATTAATTATTTGCTTCACAGTCAATGACCTTTCACTTGAAAAGGCCCTCATGCATTCCCTGGCATTGCTTTTCTTCTTTCTAGAACCTTCTCCTTTCATTATCATGATAACGAAAAATGTACTTTTAAACTGTATTTTCATAATGTCAAAATATATGCTAGAAGTTACTTTAAGTTGTTTACACAAACCTGTTGTTAAACCTCAAAACACTGCCTTTATCTACACTGGCATATGATGGTAAAATGAGAATATTTGTTAATAATTTAGTGTCCTCATGAATGTTTAATTGAAGTATCAGATTAAAAAACATGCTAAAACTTAGCTCAGGCTAATGTTTCGTTTACAAAAGGGAACAACTAAAACTAGGGATAGGCGTTTCATATTAGGATGCCATTACCATATCTCAACAGTTTGTTTAGATTACTAAAAAGTACCAGCCAGTCCACATTCTGCATTTGGATTTTACGACACAGCTGCTCTTGACTTTCTTTTATGTGTTCAGAAAAAATTGCTTAGCAGAAAATGTTTTGGAAGCTTACGAAACTAACAGAACTACATCCTTCCAAAGAGACTTCAGAGGTGAAGATCTTTAACCAGCAGACCTCAACCACAGAAAATTAAGTCTGTTGAGAATAAAACCACCAGAGAGCACCACAGAATCGTGTCCAACACAGGTTGGGACTGCTGTTGGTTAGTATACTGTTGAAGGTCTCCCCATGCCATTTTAAACTGGGAAAACAATTAAAAAATGTTTTTATACCTCCTAGAATGATTTTAAGGATAACCCAGGTATGAAAGCTTTTTTATTTGTGCTGCCGCTTTCACTGTGTACATCTGATTATTACATGTTGAAATGAATACAGCCATTGCTTTTCAGATGAGAAGAGGGAAGTGGGTTACACAAATATTACGACTGCATCTGCCTAAGCAGAACAGTTAATGAGCCTGAAGTACTATTAGCTATTGTTACTTCTTTGCATTTTTCTGAAGTGAAGTAAACCAGAATGATGCCCAAATAATTACTTATGTTTATATGTAGTATCTCACATCGTCTTCCACCTCATCCACGGAAAGCATGATAGTGTAGATTTTTAACTTGCTGCTGCTGAATAAACTGGCTAACTTAATAATTTTACTAAGTCAAAGTTTAAAAACCCACTTAAAAGACTGCTTTTTCATGAACACCAAATTATTCATGTTAATATTACATCAAAGTAGTTATTTTAAGTTGCTTTAAAAACATTTGTGTTTTTATCTCAACACTGCATAGATAGCATTCATTTATTATAAGGCCTTTTATAATTAAATTTGCTGCAAATGGCAATTCCTCAAGAACCTAGTTTAGGAGCCTGCAGAGGTTTAACAGAGTTACCCTCCTGGGATTCTGTTTTCCCCTTTTATTTTACAGGGGATTGAGAAGTATTCATCAGTTATGTTCTGTCAACAGGTACTGGAACCATTTTTGTGTGCTTGATAGGACAGAAATAGTGATTTTTCACCAGTATTTTACACGAGAAAGACTACTGAGGAATATTGTAGGGACATGACACAGGGACCACTAATAACAGATCATGGGGTTTTCCAATTTTATTTCCTTCTTTTGAAAGACCTAAGACGTTTCATTAGTTGAATGTTAAAAATAAGACTTTCACAGTCACCTTAAGAGATATAAAAAGATGCCACTATCAAAAAAAATAGAAAAAAATTATGTGACAAAGTATTATTATTTAAAATTCAGTGTCCAGGAAACAGCTGAAGACTTTTTTAAGTACTCAGAGTTCATCATGCTGGTAGACATTGTACTCCTTTGCTGATATGAAACCATCTCCATCATGGTCATTCTTCTTAAATATATCAGCTAAGATTTCATCATGGACTGAAGGATGACGTTTTTTGCCATCTCTTGAAAATTCTTCTTTCAAATACTGGCTTATCTAGAAGAAAAGAAAAAAAGTCCAACCATTGCGGCTTTTATGCCAGTATGCAACAGCTATCTTGAAGGACACTTGGGGTATATCTGCACCCGAGTCACAATAACTTACATATATGTTTAAAGTTCATTTCCCAGCAAGTCTGAGACATACTGATGTATTAATCAAAGCAAATTTCAACACTGCACAGTGTAGTTTGCATAAGCATACAGGAGCTTTACATGATCAGCCGCAGCAGAGGTACACCGATGCAACTATACCCATAGTTTTATAAATTATTTATTCCAAATTAGTTACATCATATTACCTCAAATTGAGAGAGTTTCTTGTCACTGTCCTTGTCTATTTGATTAAATGCTTCAACACTGCGAGGTCCCTTATTTACTGCATAAAGTTCAATCTCAAAGATCAATGTGGCATTGGGTGGAATCTTGCCCTGTGCTACAAATAAAAAGAAAAAAAAGCATTTAAAAAAATAAGACACTATGGTCAGAAATCACACATATGATAAATTCACATGTAAACTGTCTTTTATTACAAAAGGCTGTGTTAATATTCAGATTAAACTCTGAATTTAAATATTATACAGCTAGACAGGAAGATTGTTCAGATTGTGTTACATAAATGACTCAGAGAGATTTGCAAACAATATACTTCCCTGAAACAAAATTATATTGCTCATATCAATTCAGTTACTTCTAAAAGTTAAGAGAAGGGTTTGTGTTATCATGAAAAGCAAGGATTTCAAAAGTTGTCACTCTTTCACATACTGTCATATGATGGGGCTTATTGAGAGACTGATTCTAAGACGTATGCCTTTATTAAATATCTGCAATCTGATTTAAAAGATTACAGTAATAGACCAATGCTCTTATGTATTTTCTGTCTGAAGAAACAAGCAGGCAGTATCAGGCAGTATCAGAATATTTTGTCTGGTCTCTGAAAAAAAAAAGTTAGACTGCATTATTCCTGTGTCAAAACATTTTCTGATATGTGATGTAAAATCGCCACTGCCTATAAACACAGGCCAATGTATCATGCATATGGCAAAAAAGGGAACTGAAGAGAGACAATAACAAACTAATGAGGTCTAAAAGTAGCACCAAAAAAGCATCAAGAAATCAGGCAGTGTAAAATTAAAATGTAAACATGCAAATTGTTTCTATTTATAGCCAAAGCCGGTGTGCATGACATTGTAACCTCAGAATTTTGACAGAGTTTTGAGCTTGTGCCTGTCCTTCACAAACTGAAGAAAAACTAAAGATTCTACTTTGTTTATAAACAGAAGGTAAACAAAAGTATCACTCACGTGCCTCGTCTAGAACATCCATAGTAAAAACGACAGGTTTCAGAGTTCAAAAGAATTTAATCTTAAAGCTTTAAAAATGTGGAAGTTTTAAATATATCTGAATATAAATCATAGTTTATACACTACTTACAAAACAAAGATAAAATACCACAATTCAGTGCCAGTAGTTTACAAATATACATACCAACAAAGGAAAGATATGTAAAGATTTAGAAAGCCACATGCATCTTTTCTAATTCAAGATTAGGCAGGCATCTTCCCCAGCATGCAGGCATATGCTGAGACAGAGGACAGGTATGCTGTAGGAAAAGAATACTTTCTTGAAGTGCTACCTAGAATAAACAGTTAACACTAATATTAAAGAACGTACTTTTACTTGTGTCAGTGTTTTTCCTTGTTGTTACGAGACTTACTTATTACATATTATGCTCAAGGGGAAAAATTTATTCCTAGTAAACTTCACTGGCTACAATGGAATTGTATGAAAGATAAAACTGGTGCATGGAATTCTGACATAATATCACTACCAAAGAATTATTATAGAGCAGGAGCTACCTTTTCACAGAAACTACTACACCCAAGTCAGAGCTGTATTCAAGTTATCTACAATTAACATTGCTGAAACACTGCATAAAACTCTGACCGGAACTTTTTTTAAAAGTAGACTGCACACTTAAGCATCATAAATTCAAACCTCATTTCATGCATTGTAGTGTTGCAATTACTATGTAATGTGATAATATTGTCCATTAACTATCCAGAATGTAAGCAGTATTTTAAACAAATTATTTCTACCTAGATTAATTCTGTGGCATGCAGTGGATTACATTCCATTTTGCTCAGAACATGCAGAATGTCATTAAAAGGCTAAGCAGGTAGGAGTCAAACGACAGAAACTAAACATGAGTAGAATACCATAGATGAAGACAAAAAATGCTGATATGAATCATGAAGATCTTCCTTTTGCTGTCAATTTTTGGTATTACAGCAATACTTGGAAAAAAACGACGAGTACCATGCTCTGAATTCTAATGCAAACTGCAAGGCCTGGGTGTAGGCCTATGATGAGGACTACTTAAAATGCATAGGAATGAGCAGGATTAGGCTGCACAGCTGCTGTCATTACCTTCAGTGCCTCCAAAAATCATGGGAGCACCAATTCCTATGGTCATTTACAATACTGTATATTTGAATGGGTAAAACAGGAAAGACAAAGTTTAGTATTAAAACTTCTTGTTTACCGTATCCTTGCTGTCCATATGCTAATGATGGAGGAATGATCACTTTCCGTTTTTCTCCAGGACACATACTCATCATAGCAATATCTAAACCTTTTATGACTTGTCCAACACCCAGAACGAACCATTTTGGATGACCTTCATTTTGCGTCCGACTATTAAAAAGAATTGTGAGGGGACAACAGTGAATTTAGTATTTAATTTTTTTAACATAAAAATAACTTTAAATTAGCAGTCAGTAAAAATGTACATCAGATTATTAGAACACAAGAATTTTTAGAGTGTAAGAATATAAAGTATTAACACCGTTTTTCTGCTACATTTATAATTAAAGTAAAATCTTGAGATGTGTGAGGGGCAACCTGCTTTTGAAATTAAAAAAACAATTAAAAACCCCTAACTTCTTACAAAAGCATCTGATCTTCCTGATTGTATACACTGCATGCCAAAAACAAGGTGCCACTGCAAGAAGTCTGTGAGGAGTGCTGGGAGCAATTCACTGCCAGAAAGTGAAAACATCTTCAGCAGTTCACATCACTGTAGGATGGGATGGGATGGGACAGAGCATGCTGGTGTGTGCTGGGGGGAACCTGGCAATCTTGGCTGTGGTACTGTGTGCTCACCCACCACCCTGTTCAGTTTAGATATCTGGTGCTTGAGGCAGCTTCTGGTCATACGAGATGTCCTCAGTATGGGAGCTACAGTGAATAGTGTCTGAGCAGCATGTAGCTCAAAAGTCAGAGGGCAACACTGTATGTGCCAAAATTAGTCACTTCAAAGGCAAAAAAATGCAAGTAAAACAGTACTGTTAAATGTAGAATTATCCTATATTGATTTTTTCTTAAATGATATAACTGGGGGGAATGAATCAAGATTTTGTAATAAACTAGGCTACTGTCTGATCTGTCCAAATATGGGTAAGGAACGAGCCAGGTACCTGAAGGAAAGCAAAGACTCTCCTCCATAGTTCTGCACAGGTGAGTCCCACCTCCATAGTAGGATGCACCACCTTTGAAAGCAAGGCACTGTAAAAATAAAGCTTTTGCACAACAGTGTCTGTGCAAAGCAAACTAAACCAAGCTGAAACAACCTGAAGATAGAGGGATGGGACAAAGTGAAAAAGCAAAAGCCTAAATACTAACATTGAGGCAAAGAGGAAGGTAGCACAACTCAAGGAGGGAAGCAGCGACAGGGAAGGGGCATAAGGACTGCAAACAACTACTGTAATGCAGCTGCCCTGCACAATGCCAACTATGTAGAAGTGCATGCTGTATTCGTTTCTGTCTAAAATACTCAGTCTGCATCCCTACCAGGAGCTCATCCTCCAAACCCGAGTTTTTCTGCAGATTACAGCACAGAACATGGCAGGTGATAACACGGTGGGGTTTTTCTCGCCCTGCCAAAGAGGTTTTCTGTGTGAGATGTGGGCTACAGGCTCTCAGCGACCGTCCCAGTTGGTCCCCTTTGCTGTCAACGACCGCCAGTCTCAAGTATGGCTTTAGTTTGCAGCTTACCTCAGCGCTGGTCCCCCTTGACCCTAGGTAAATCCTACATCCTTCAACACTCGTCTGAGGAAAAGTAATGCCTGAGATGGGGGGAAATTACTAATGCTAACGTGGTGAGCGTGGACCCCAAGCTGTGCCCACGCCGGGAGAGCACAGGCTCGCCCACTTACCCGGCCCTGTGCCCCTGCCGTGCCCCCTTGGCCAGGTAAGCGGGAGCTGCTGCTCCTGGGGGCGGGCAGGCTGTGCCACGTACACCGCCGGGCTTGGGCCTACCTTCCCTTCCACCCTACCCGGTGCCTTGGGGGCCCACCTGCAGTAAAACTTGGATCCATCGCTGGCCAGGAAACCGTCGTAATGCGCGTTCAGCAGATCCCCCTTCTTGCTCTTCGGGCTGCAGACCTCGGGGAGGTGCAACACCTCTATTTTAACCTCCTCCGCCGCCACCCTGCTGTCTTCGG